ATAAAAGATTGTTTGGATTAGCCACTTCCTTCCCGAGTTATTACTGATTCTATGCGAGGAAAATGCGCCTTCGTCGGTCGCGAGTGACCACGTTTTTAAGCTTCAGAAAGGTTCTGATGAAACTCGCAAATTTTATGTGTCTAAAAAATTCGAGAAAATGGATGAAGCGAAAACGGAAAAACTTGGAAAATCTGAGAAATTGCAGATTTCGGACTTGGAGAAGCCGTAAAGTATAAAATTGAAAAATCGAAAGAACGCGAAAAGCCCGAAGAAATGGAAGAACCTGAGACACTAGGAATCAAATAAATTAAAGTAGAATCAGATCGCGAGGATGGGTAAAGAAATTTTTTACTATAAAGTGAATGTTTTTTTTTAAATTTAAATGTGATGTAGCTTGAGAACTACACTTTGCGCGTTCAAACTAAGAAAGAAATGTAGCCTTTAAGATATATTACGCGAAACAGTTTTTTTTTTTAATAAATATGGGCTAATTGTATAACCAAAGGCCTCAGAAACAGATGGAAAGTAAGATTTTAATACAAGGTACGTACAAGGAAAAAAGGATCTTCCATTTTTCCTTTGATCAGGATTGAGGAAGCTTAACAAACTGCTTTTTGGGTGCAACTGACTTCAGAAGAGGAGCCGTAAGTTGCAACCCCCACTAAAAAGATTAGCAAATCTATTAATACTGTTATTTTGTACTAATTTTGTACTTATTTGTACCGCGGATACCAAATTTTGTACCACTACATTTTAATCGTTAGGACCAAATCTACATTGGGGTTGCAATTTAATGCCACAACCCCAAGTATTCACATTCTTAAAAATTTTTGTGCCAGAATTTTGTACTCATTTTGTACTAATTTGCACCGTAAATAAGAACTTTTGTACCACTACCTTTTAACAACTAGGACTAAATCTACATTGGGGTTGCAATTTAATGCTACGCCCCCAAGTATACAGATTCTTAAAATTTTGTGCGCCATAATTTTGTACTCATTTTGTACTAATTTGTACCGTAACAAAAAATTTTTGTATCATTAGCTTTTAACCGTTACTATCAAATTAATTTTGGAGGTGCAACTTAACGGTACAACCCCGAATATACAAATTCATACAAATTTTCATGTCATAGTTTTGTACTCATTTTGTACTAATTTGTGCCGAAAGCAACTAGTTTTGTACCACTACTTTTTAATCGCTAGGACCAAATGTATATATGTTGTGGTTGCAACAGACAGACAAACAGACAAATAGACAGACAGACAGGCAAACAGTTAATTACGTAGATAATGCGTAACACACGTTTTCCAATGGACTATAAAGATGATGTACCTAATATAGGTATTTAGCTATTTACGAGAGTATTTATTTTCAGTGTAAATTGGCATAAAACTTTTGTTATACAGACTCAATTGTTACTTTGCATTTTCAGTACCTATGTACCTACACTCGATTTTCTCATTTGGTATTTGTAGCGTTTAACGAAGTTGAGGTAACGTTTATGTGCTCGATTTTCCGTCGCCTGTCTGTCTGTCTGTTCCATTGAAATCTCGGCCCCTGGGCCAGCTAGAGACTTCGGGTGTTCGTTTATTGATAGGTGCTAATATATGGTCTACATTTGCCCGTTACTCATCACGAGTGAGTTTTGAAACATTTTTATTTATATTTATCTTTGAATTTTAAATATTGATAATACGTTATTTAATTTGTGTGTACACATTTGTTGAAATTGGAACTGCGAGAAGTGTAATCGGAATCGTGAGCAACAAAATAAGGTACGATGGTATTTTTTACTACCTATTTTAACATTTGGGCTCAGTTGGTCATTGCTGGTTTAAACTGAAGTTAACTTCGGAAGTTAAATTCTGGTTTAAAGAAATGTATTGGTTAATGTCCAGTGTTTCATAAATCGGTAAAACACTCGTGTGAAATTAGCACTCAGAATATAGCAGCCAAAATGCCGAAAACGAACGAACGACCAGTGGCTCGTTTACCATAAAAAACAAATTTGCGAATGCACTTCGCATGGCAGCCATTTTCCAGCAGCTAAACTAAAATTCATCTTAGATCTCTCTCTATTCGAAAGGAGCAATATAAAACAATAAAAAATTGCCGCCACCTTTTGCAAAAGAATTTCACATTTGAATTTAGCCTTAGTCTCTTCAAAAAATTGGCATTCACTAACTGACCCACCTCATAGGGTGAAATCTGCCCCCAAAGTGTAAAAAAATACATATAGAACCCTTAGAGAAAAGGTTTTACATTTATTAGGCTATTCGCATTGACTGATGATTGAATATTAATTAATATCAGCGCGACTTGATAGACACGGGTGGTTAACTTACCCTATAAGCCGTTTGACAGCTTTATTGGGGTAAATTATTGCCTATGTGAATATGGACAAAAAAACACGTAACAAAGACTCTCTATTGAAGAAATGGTTACATTTTCGAAAAAAATTAATACGTATTACATGTCTGCTTTTAATTTTCATTTTACACTTTCCTGGTGGTGATGAAAAGGAAAACGAAAGTGAAAATCCTGAGGTAGATAATCCAGTTCGAAGAAGAGCATGTGACATGAAGGAGGTAGAAAACGGGCGGGGTTTGGCAGATGTACAAAGAGCGAAATATAAATCGTATTTAACACAAAATTCGGAATGGTTAAGAAAGGACTTGAGCCAGTTAAAACCTGTGTTACCAATTGGGTTGTTAAAAAACGGCAACAAGGATTCACTTCGTCCCCTACATGTGAACGGCGAAAGAGTAATACTGGCCAATACGTGTGCCTTTGATGCACTTCTTCAGATTACCTGTTCAGCGTATTGCGAAAGCGACCTATATAAAAGCTATGTGGATGAAGCATTTTTGATCGTCAAGCTGGCTAGGGAAATCATCACGCATCTTCAAAAAAGAGTCGCGCAGGAAAGTTATAGTTTGTACAAACCAATTTATTTCGATGAGACCTTTCGTTGGAATACCATGAAGGGTAGAACGTGGTGTTTGCCCTCCCCCCCTCCCCCCCCCACACACACACATTTTCAAAAGTTTTACTTGGCACCACTAATGGAATGCGTATGAAACATCTTACACCAATTGGTTGCTATGTAACAGTGATGCACGTTTCGGAGCCCTCCCTTTAAGACAGTAAAATTTAATGGCCGTCGTAGTTCAAAGTAAGTAGTTCAAAACGACAAAAGTGGGTCCGGACGGACGAACGGACAAAACACAAATAATAGCACATTTTTTTTAATTCTTAAAAAAGTCGCTAAAACATATCGGCAATGTTCTACGTGCTGAGAACCCTACCCCCAACACGGACGGATTCAGAGTTATAATACTACTACGAGTACCTAAGAAAAATTGAAAAAAGGGACAAAATAATTTCCTTATAACGATACATTATATTAGTGCATAATCATGGAACAAAATTGTGACCCCAATATAGATTGGATACTAGTGGATGGAACTCAGTGGTACAAATTTAATGCAAAATGAGTACAAAATCAAAGGTCAAGAATTTTATGAATGTACATACATGCACGAGATAGTAACGTTAACATATGTATATTTGATCCTAGCTGTCAAAAAGTACTGGTACAAAATTAGTTACTTGCCGTACAAATTAGTACAAAATGAGTACAAAATTATGGCGCGAAAATTTGCATGGGATTGTATACTCGAGGTTGTACCCTTCAGTTACACCTCCAAAATTAATTTGATAGTGACGGTTAAAAGGTAATGGTACAAAATTTTTTGCTTACGGTACAAATGAGTACAAAATTATGGGCCATGCATTTATAGAAATCTGTATACCTGGGGTTGTGGCATTAAGTTGCAACCCCAATGTCGATTTGGTCGTAGTGGTTAAAAGGTAGTGGTACAAAACTTATTATTTACGGTACAAATTAGTAGGTACAAAATGAGTACAAAATTATGGCACAAACGTGTTTAAAACTCTGAATATTTGGGGTGGTGGCGTTTAGTTGCAACCCCAATGTAGATTTGGTCCTAATGATTAAAATGTAGTGGTACAAAATTTGGTATCCGTGGTACAAGTAAGTACACAATTAGTACAAAATAACGGTATTAATAGATTTGCTATTCTTTTTAGTGGGGGTTGCAACTTAATGCACCCCTTCAGAAGTCCTACAATTCTTCCTCGTTGGCCTCTAGCATTATAATTATTGCGTTTAGAGCATGTTACATTGCATGTAGCTAACTCGTAAACATTTAAATTGAATTATTGTCGGAAGATAGGCAATTTAAACATTAACAGTGCGATTGCGCTGCCTACCTTATAGAATAATGTGGTAATGATCGCATTTTTTTCTCAAGTTGATGTATAATATAACAAAGGGACATTAACTTTTTCGCAGATGTATAAATAAAGCATGAGCTAGATAGGTGGTAGTTACCACCCCAGAAACCAAAACTTTGAGTGTATTTTTTCTAAACTCATTTTATAAATTTTGGTAATCTGCTGGACCATCTTCTACTTCATATCATTGAATATAAAGTATTTAAACAATGTCCGTATTTACCCCTTCTGTTTTTAACATATTAACTTCGGGTTATTTGTGTTGGGTGGTTTATGGTGAGGTATGGAATGGATACCAAAGATTGTGCTTTCCCTCCCTACTTGACTAATCTAATGAATGAAATGTGTATGCGGCAATTAAGCTTTATTCTATAACAACGTGATTTATTGCTCTTTTAGTCTCTTCTAAGTAAAAGCATTGAATAAGTAATTACTTATGTATCAGTGGTAAAAGACATTTCAGCAGTGCTGTGCTTTTTGGATTACTTGCTTTGTACATAGGGGATGAAACTCTCAATTCTCACTCTGCCAGGCAACGAAAGATGTGCAACTAATGAATTGTTTCATCTGTTGTGGCATTATAGTTGGCAAAACGTAAACCTTCAAAAATCTTCAGGTGTCATACAATTTCTGCTTTTATCGATACAATTTTATTTAAATTTACAAATTTCCTAATCTACACTATCTTTAATTACTATACAATTTCTTCATAAAAAATCTCTAAATCGCTTTGAGCGTGCGCAATTCCTCCAGGACCAGCAATGGCGACCGCTTCAGGCTCGTAAAGTATATCAACATTCGTCCCCTTAAGCACCAACGCTCTGGAGACGGGAAGCGCAATTGCCTTACCTTCCTGCCCGGCAACGGCCTTCGCCACAGGTTTGAAAATCATTGTATTCGTATTTGCATCCTCGACCCCATTATTACGAATAGTAATTACTTTACTATGACCTATATTCTTTAGCTGAACAAAGAGGGGGTTCGATTTGTGCGGAATAATCTTGGCGGCGTTAATTTGCTGAATTCTTTTGAGATCTTCTTCGACGTCTTTCGATATGGCCGCGTCTCCGGTGCGCGACTCAACGAGTGACTTTTGCTGCTGTATTTCTGGATGAAAGGAGGTTAGCTTTACTGGTTTCGGTGGAGGATGGAAGTGAAGAGGGACCACAACCCATCTACGACAAAGAAGATCAGATTAGTTCTACGAAACTGTGAGAATTAATTGATAATGAGAACAAAAGGATTGACAACAAAATGACTTTATTTACAGGTTGTTCAGTCTATTTTCACAACTCACATTACAAATAGGTAATTTTTACGGGCCTTTGTTATAGTAGACCACCGGTCCGATCGCGACGATTTTTCCGATTCTGGGGCTAAGTTTCGTTTCGTTCTTGCTTATGCTGTTGATCAAATCCGTTAGGTTAATGCCTGGATTGACGGCGATGACTTTCGTTCCCGACCCAGCGATGGCGATGCTGTCGGGTTGTGTGTACGCGTACCCATCGGGCCCGACTATTGCGGTACCGCCAGTTCCCGCAGTCGCAATACCTCCAGGTCCGGCGATTGCGATCCCGCCTTCTCTTACGCGTAACCTCTGCACGAAAATGCCGTTTCCGGTGTTATCTTGGCTAATATTCTTGGTCTTCTCCTTCATACCCAAAGGAAATATGTTTGCCTTAAGATCTCCCTCTTTATTGTTGCTCAAGATTGTGGCCAGCTTATTGTTGACACGCACGGTTGGATTCTTCAAATCTCGCGAGGTATCATCGGTGTCCACTGTTAAGGTAAACCGGAAAGGGTTTTGATTGTCGTTAGATAAACGCAGATCCTCAATCACGAGCTCCTTTCCAGTTTCTTCTTTCTTCTCAGCTTTTACAGTGGAACACGGTGCGGCCGCTGGCGGCGGCGCGTTGTTTCCTGGTGGACCATATTCAATCATCGATGCAAATGCATTCATCAACTGCTGGATCGGGTCCTTTATAACGATGGGAAAGTAGGACGTCAACGGTGACTGTATCCCTTGGCGAAGATGCGGGTAGTACAATTCAGGAGGATACATTGGATAGTAAAGTGCCATGTAAGGCAACGGAACTTGCATACTTATGACATTGCGGACGTTTTCAATGGTTTGATTTTCGAGAATGGGGTCGGTTTGTTGCGGTGGATGGCTCGCAAAAGCGGATGGTGGAATATAGTAAGGCATATGAGTGAAACCGGTCCTGTTTTCTTCTGGAATCGCATTACTTGTTAATTGTTGATTTGGAACTCGGTTGTAAAACTGTTTGGAGAATTCAGCCCGCTCGGGAACTCTCGGCGTTAGATTTTGATTGACAGCTTTAATTTTCTCCATAATTCTTTTGGTTGGGCTCTCAAGTTCACGCTGCGTTATCTCGCGTATTTCTTGCTGTTCGATCCTAAAACGTGCATTCTTTATTTCTTTTGCATGTAGCTGAGAATGATAATGTTAATAGATAATTAGTAATCTAACTTACCTACCCAAGAATCTTCCACCACTGAACAATGAACATACACTTCAAAACCGTGAGTAAGTAAATTAGGGTACGAAAGTACTCCACACCATTTTTAAAGGCACGGATTAGTGATTAGGCTTAAATGTAGTTAAATTAACTTACTGGACATTCTCCTCGTGTATTTGTGATGGCGATCCTTGAGGTTTGGAGTGCGCCAACGGAACCAGTAGCATCTAAAATAGAAAAGGCTTAAATGAGGGCCAGTACATTCAAAGTACTTTCAATACATTCAATCGAGATACCTGTTTTGGTAATTATTGCCCGCCTTTCAAATGGTAGACAATTATTTTATATTATAGCAGATTGATATTTTAATAGTTTGAATGAGTAGGCTCTGTAACCGTGGTAGATAAAGTGAAACATATGATTGTGCATTACAATGGCATCTGTCATTCTTATTTCAAATCGGACGCGGATCACGAAATAAAATGAAGGTCAGAATACAATAAAATTCTGTTTAGCTTTACAATGATTTATACGGCTTCTGCTACAAAATAAAGTATTGTATAATAAGTAAGTATTAGTTTACTTTCAAAATAATCAAAAAAATGCTAATGAAAGTAATACTTGTGCCTGTTGGTTGGTGCCCTAAAAGAACCCTACTGATTTTTAAGTGCAGCATTGAGACTCCCGGGTTCCAACGTTTAATTCTGGATGCATGAAGAGAGCACGAAAGTAATCCAAAGATCTTCGGAATGCGTCTCGCGAAAATTAAAATATTTGGGTTTTTTGAAGAGACAATTAACTATAAAAAAGGCGTATTTTTGTACTAAATCATAATGAAACGACAGTGTTGAAACGATGTGGCTCTTTGCACTGCAATAAGTAGGTACTATATGAAACCCCGTGAAACGTGAGAAAAATTAATTTATTGTTGTACCTACCCTGTTATCTGATCTCCATTCTTTAAATGAAAGCTATAATATCTAACAAACAAAAATTTGGGAATATTTTCAGACAGATTTTTAAGTAGCGTCTACCCTTATACAACAAATATTTTTAATGAGCAAAAAAACTGTCAAATCGCACACGGTCTGAAACGAATATAAAATTTCATTGCAAGAACTTGAAGACAGATAATTACAAAAGGAAAAAGTTGTCACCAAAATGCACATACCAGAATAAGTAACATGATTAGATAACTTAAAAATCACCTATTGAACATTAACGAAGACTGTCAACTGAATATTGAACTACCTCTTTTAAAACCATCGGAAAGTAATTTAGTAGTCTTCCACCAACTGAAGAACGATACGCCGGGATTAATTCAAAATCAAAGTTTACTTCTTGAATCCAAAGTAGGGACGAGTAACGTTATTTTAATTCCAAGACCGCCGCCGCCGTCATTTCTGCAACGGTACGGTGCGTTGTTTGTTAAATTAATTTTTTGTAGGTAACACGCATAATTTTCTCAACGCAAATGGTCATATTTTAAGACACATTTTCCTGTTACAAACCCTCGAGGGCGTTTTTAGATCGATTCAAATGCAAGTGTAGAAAAATCCTAGTTATAATTATTATCGCAACTGGTTTCACGGGTATTTTCTTTATTAGTTGCAGAACCTTGACACTGCAATGTCGATGAACTGTTAATCTTCGGATGCTGGCAAATATTGACAACGCCTACCGATTCTTCACGCCGCGGTATTTGCAACTGTATCTAATAATCCTAGTTTCCCTTTTTTGGTTCTAGCCGCGTACTTTTCTGACACATATAGTGAACTAGTGACCTAGGTAATGAAAAAAAGCATTCACCTTCTTCTTCTCTGTGTTTTGTTTATTAATACTTAACCCCCGCAAAGGCCGGTAACATGAGTGCTAAATCATGCAGAACATTCTGTCCATGAGTGATAATAGTATAGGAAGAGCCTTGACGTAACTATAAACCCTACCATTGTTTAAAGTATTTATACAATGGCCCTACCTAATAAATCCTACCTATTGCATCAATTGTACATACAGAATACGCTTTAAAAAGCTTTTCGAAAAGTTTGCAAAAAGTATGTGCGGAGATTCTATATTTCAAATATTAGTGGTCATCTACACTTTTTGTTTGGATTTTTACATATCTTGTAGTTGGTTGACCAAAATTTTCGAAGGTTTTTTCAAGACAAAAAAATTTTCTCTGTTTATAACGCGAATTCCGTGACAAATGGCTCTAAGTTTCTTAACACAATATCAGGATCTTCGAGAGTCTTAGAAAGAGCGAAAAGTGTAGCACCATACAGAATTGGTAGAATTTTTTCACAGGCTCTTCCATCTAGTAGAAAATTGCAGAGGGAATAGCCCTTAATGCACACTTATGCTTCACCTACAGATTTCGAAATCATGCTTTGAGGAATTGAGGTCGTAAAAAATCGATTCCTGGACTAGACCCGGTTGGAAGATGCTTTTCTGGATTTCTGATTCGGTGAAAGCAAAACGATCTAGAGGATGATCGAAATCTGGAAAGTTCAGATTCCGAGAAAGAGCTGGACGTTTCAAAGTTTTTATTAATGTAACGTCCCTTGTACTCAGGATAGCGTATAACACCTATGGCATACTTTTGTGCCAATTTGTGCTTCTGCTCGATATCAGAATTTTTTCCAGTCTGTTTTGGGAGATCTCTTGAGATGGAAACTTTTTCAAAATTTAAAGGAGATATCCAAAGTCTATCCAAATACGTCAGATTCTTTGGTATTTCCTGAAATTCTTTCATATTGTCTGGTTTCTTTTGGTATCCCTTTACTTTTGCGCACTTTTGTAGAGAGTTTTACGATTTTATTACTTTTATAGTTTATGTATTTCTTATGGAGAACCTAGCCAGTGTTATACTCCATATACACATGTAGCTTTTCTGACACCAAGTACTTTAATAACAAGAGTACTATGAGCATTGTAAAACCATGACAGTACATGGTTCAAATCATTCTGAGATAATAATGGAATCGGATAGCATAAAAATATTTCAGTACTGGCGGCGAGCATGGCTTTTTTCTCGGCTTCTTTCAATATAGTTTCTGCATATATCAAAGATCAAAAAGCGCCCCAGATCCCAACATTTCGAACCTCTTACCACTAATACTGATTGTCATCAAACTGAGGGCCAAAAAAACTATACATACACATAGACTAAACAAAACATCAATGTAGCTGTAGCTCAGTAACGAGCTACTTTGGCAGGTATATTTATTCTAACGTTTTTTTTTTGATAATTTTAGTCGTAGAATACGGCTGCATATATAGTTAGCTCCACCACTCCACCATTAGTAAGATCTAGTTGGGGGCTACCATATTTCCTTTTAATTTGCATTTTGGAGGATTTCACTACAAACCCTTCACAAAATAGTACTCTATTTTTGGGGCACTTTTCAATTTTCATAATTCGAGCTTGTATTGACGACAGGGGAAAGAGAGACCGCGATTCGAACTCTAAGAACCTTTTGAGCGCTCAAAGTCGACTGCCCTTCGAAGACGCGCGCCTTGCAAAAGGTGTTTAATTTCGGTCCTAGGACAAAAAACAGAATTCCGTCACGCAGGGGTTGGGTGCGTTTACAAGATCTTTAGATGTCGCCGACCCCACATCATGTAGCCCCGTCCCTAAAGTTGTTAATTACACGGTGTATTCTTTGTCAAATTTGTAGATCGGAGTGAATTGGTAATTTAGGCCAAGAAATTAGGAACGCCCTTTTCACGTCTCCGTTAGTTGTGAACCGAATTGCATGTAATTGAGCTTTAGCCATATAATACGCAATGCCATACTCTGGAGCTCATTTGCTATGCCTGAAGAAAGAGGAATATCATCTTCAGCAACGTGCACCCGATAATGGGCACAAATGCGTAGTAGCATTGTATTGTAGATGTAAAACAATTTTTTATTCTAATGCTTACCGTTCTCCTGCTTCAGTGTGCGCGTGAGGGGGGGGGAGGCTATCTTGAAACGTATACCGGGAAAAGTAAGAGTTTCTCTGACACAGAAATTAACATGTCATTAAATCATCAATAGTTTTGAAGCATGGGAAGATCTTCTGTAGTTTTCATATCGAGTATTTCACATTTCCCCAAAATCGGCTAGTAAAGATAGGTCTTTAACATGTAAAGTCAATGAAAACACTGTTACATTCAAAACACCACATTTAATTGTATCAATTACAGCGAACATAAGCCGAATTCTACAATTTCCGAAAGTAAGCTTAATGATTGGTGATGTCAGAGGGACAATTCGGGTGTTCATCGTCAGACGATAAAATTGCAATTAAAAACTCCAATACACTTGAACATTTGAAGTGCAAACATCCAAACCTTCACCATCCTACATTACCAACTAGTAAAGATCCAGTACTTTTATAGTCACTAAAGAAGACGATAATTATCATGTTTTTACTAAATGGTTCAGCTGTTGGAATTGATGGTTTAAGACACCTCAAGGATTTGATTGGATATTCTGTTGAGAGATTGAACAGCAATTATTATCCCAAATAACTATAGTAATTATCTGTCAGGCCGCAATCCACGAAGTCAGAACGTACATTGCCATTGCCAAGAACAACTCAGCCGAAATATTACTAAAAATGGACGCGTTTCAGAGGGTTAAGGAAATAATACCACAGGTTTTCCCATACCTCTGGCAGTGCTACTCTTCTCCATCTAATTTGATGTATAAACATCTAATTCAGTCTTCTGTTGGCTATCAACAAGGAGATTCTCTTGAGCCAGCCATATGTAGTTTGACAATCCACTCTATTACCAAGGAACTTGCCCGAAAACTGAAGATTTAGTCCAGTAAAATTAGACAAAATAACGGCCAAACCCGGAAATTTGAAAGAACAAGGTGAAAATTGGCAGACATGTTCAGGATAGTGCCAGAACCAATTTCCGAAAAGTCCCAAAAGATCCCGGTTGAGGAACGGACGCCATCTTAAAAAAACTACCCCTAAACTCGATTTCTCGAGTTTTGAGCAAAACCAATGAACCAATGGTCGGATTCTCGTTGCTAAGGTGTCAAAATGTTTGTTTTAATGTGTATTTGGAGTAAAAACATAATTCCGCACATAAAGAAGCCCTTGGAAATTCGAGCTTTTTAGGAAAATCACCCCCAACCTGGATTTTTCACGTTTTCGGCATTTGTTGTTGTTTTGTTTACGCAATCCTAGGATTGGTTGGACGCAGTCCTCCACCTTTTCCTATACTGCGCTAATCTTTTTAGTTCTACATAACTACTTTTGCCTAAGTCCCTAACTATTTGGTCTATGTATTTAAGTCTCTGTGGTCCTACCCCTCTCTTGCCCTCGTCCCTACCTTCTATAGCTAGTAGTGCTATTCCTCCGTGTCTTAGCACGTTCGCTATCATTGTACCTATCTCGTCTTCTCTGTACGGTTTTCATCTCCCTATTTCCTGTACTCGCTCCAAGACTGCTTCGTTTGTTACCCTATCCATCCAGCTAATCCTCTTTCTATCCTACTTTTGCCTGCCTATCGTCCAGGTTTCGCACCTGTATGACCTACACTCCATTTGTACGTTTTTAGCAATCTTTTCCTAATTCCTATATTTATCTGTACACATTTCTATGTAATGTAACCTATTAAACTTATTAAAGACATTTATTATTATTATGGTCGCTGTATCTTGTGAGAACTCAGGTCTAGCCTGGTTAACTAATCGCACGGATTAAAATCAAGTAACGATTAGTGTCTGTGTCTGTGTCTGGTGAAGTTATGTAGGGTTCTAAAGAAAAATAAAAAATAGAAAATAAAATAAATATTCGCACACTCACATTGGAAATCTAGGGATAGTATGTAATTCATACTTACCAACATAGCTATTAATGGCCACAATAGTCAACGCTATCAGGAAAGAAGAAAACAAAACAGTAATATCATTATAATAATTCCTGTACTTTTATTAAATAGAGTTTATTGTGTAAGTGTTTCTTTGGCTTTGCGTTTGGGTTGTATACGAGTGGGTTGTGATAACGTGGTGTGTTTATGTGAAGAAGGAGTTTTGTGTTTTTTAACTGTGCTAGGACGTGTAACTTTATTGGGTGGACCTGTCTTTGTAGTGCAAGTTGCGTTACTTGTATTTATGGTGTTTCTTTGTTCTAGAGGTTGTATTTGTGTTGTTGCTTGGGTTATTGATGGAGATATTACAGTATTTTGTGAGCTAGTGGTGCTGTTTAGGTTTTTGCGTTTGGGTTGAATACGAGTGGGTTGTGATAATGT